GGGGCGGGGCGCCTCCCTGGCCCAGGGTCCACCGCCAGAAGGCCAACCCAGGCCTAGTCGGAGTCCACGTTCTGTGAGCCTCCCTCAGCGGCCCAGGGCCCACCACCAGGAAAATTTTCCCCAAAGGGTACTGGTGCCCAGCACTGTGCCAGGTGAGGGCCAACAGGTGAGGCACAGGCCAGAAGTGGGTGCGACAGGTGGTGGGCTTCAGCTGTGGGGGCCCCTCTGGCCCCCAGCCAGAGTGCCTCGTCCCAGTCCCGGGCCTGCTGCGTCCTGCCCAGGACAGCTACAGCTAGCTGAGAAGCCCTCGCCCACGCCTTGGTGTGGGCCCAGAGCTTGCTTCTCCGCGGAGGCATTTGGGGCGGCCTCCGCTCCCCGGGGTGCCTCTGCCAGAGGCAGGGCCCGACTTAAGTGTGGGAGATAAACTGGGCCCCGGGAAGCAAGAGGGGGTCCCATCGGGCTGCCTGGCTTCGGGGCTACCTCCGGGGCTGAGGAGCAAGCCCCGCCCCCCTGCCCGAGTGGCTGCCCCAGGTGTCTGGGATGAGGGAGATGAGGGAGATGCACGAGGTGAGGCTAGGCGCAGGTGAGCCCCATGCAGGAGCAGCTCCGCCTCCACGCTCTCCGCACTCGTCTGGGGAATCTAAGCAGCCTGACAGACGCATTTGTCGGGTTGGGGCTCAGCTAGAGGACCCCGTAACACCGAACTGGGGTGAGTGAGAATTCAGTGGACACCAGGGATTTACCGGTTGATTGGGGAGTGGTGGGGATGGGGCTGTCGTCCCTCTGAGACTCCAGCTGTTCTCCCTCCCCCATCCTGAAGTTTGGCAGATATTGGGGTGAGGCCGTTGGTGTGGGGGTGCAAGAATTCACCAGAGACAAAGTGAGGAAGGGCAAAGTGGGTTTGTTGCAGTGGGCGAGAAGGAAGAATTCCGAAGCTCGGAGGGTTGAGGTTCGGGGTGTTTTTTCTGGTCCCGGTGGTCAGTATGCAGCCTTGCTCCAGGTGACCTTACCAACTCCCTCACCCAGTCAAGCCCCCCCTCCCCCCAGCCCCCCACTCCCTCAGCCTGCTGGGCCAGGAGTGGGCTTAGTTTGTCCACCCTTGCAGCCCATGGGAAGCCATTACAGGGCGGGGTGGGGGCAGCAGGGTGGGGGGGAGGTTCAGCGCTTCTTGGCAAGTGGCCCCTCAGTGAGAAAGAGCTGGAAGGTCTCCCCCACTCCACCGGCACCTAGTGGGCCACGTTGCGGTCGCTGGGGTGCCGGTGGATCTGGGGGTGGGCATCTTCCTCTCGCCCAGCTCCATTTTCCACTGTCCTGTAGGGGAGAGGATTCAAGACCCCCAAATTCTTGATTCCAAAATCTCTCACCGGCCCTTTTCAGCCCTGGCAGGTTGGAGCATGTACAGAGTGGGGAGGCCGCTGGTGCTCCTTTCACTCAGCAAGGAGAGACCCCAGTTTTTGCAGAGTATGCAGGGGAATAAAATGCCCTCTTTCTGCCCCAAGCAGACCCGGCCCCTGCAGCCACCCCGCAGCTGGTCACCTTCCACAGGCCCACAAAGGTGATGAGAAGTGGGGAGGTGGGGTGCTGCTCAAGGCAGATCCCTGAGGTGGGCTCTTCATGGTGTGGGCAGGGCTGACCCAGGCCTAGGCCGGGCCACAGGTGGGGCTGGGTCCTGCGAGGCGCGGCCCAGGCGCAGGGGCGGGGCGCAGCGTGGCTGGTCCTGAGACAGCTCCACCGCGCTCTCGGCTGAAGGTGGCGGTTCCTGGCCCCAGAGCCGGGTCTCTGCGTGGATCCCTGCAGTCCCTGGGGAGCTTTGAACGGGCCAGAAAGGTGCCCCTTTGACTTATCCATAGCTGCTTCTCATCTGGTGCCTCTTGTGTCTGAGGCGGGGAGGGCTTCACCTCAGTGGGGCATTTCCAGGTCAGAGATCTGAAGCCCTGGGGTCATTGCCGACATGCCCGGCATTTCCAGGTGTGAGCTGTAGCCATCAGCTCCTCGGGGCCCTAAATTGGATCCTGGTCCAGATAGTTCACCTGGCTCAGGAGCGCAGTGAAATGCTGTTAAACAGGCCGCTTTCCGCAGGCCTCCTGGACACTTCTCACTGCGGTATGAGCTCATTAAGCCTCTGCACCCAGATAAATGTGGCAGGGGGAAGGAGGGCTTTTCCCAGAATCGTCTTGTGGAACCCTGTACCCCCAGACGCTGTTCTAATTGAGCCCCTATCTCCGTGAGGGAACAGAGACCCAGAAGGGTCAGGTTCCTTGGTGGTGCGCACCCCCTCCATAGCCCCCTGCCTCTGTTCTGAGACCACCTGGTCCCCTCCCCAGCATGGGTGGCATTGTGGGGGTTAGCCTCCCCCCTTTTCTGCACGGCAGGGAGGGAACATGGGGCCCAGGGCTCAGGCAGAAACAGGAGGGCTGTCTGTCCGTGGGCCCCAGCAGGCAGGGATGAAATGGGAATTAGAGTTGTGACAGCCTGTCATCGTCACGGGCCCCCACCCCCTGCCCCGCACCCCATCTTCGGTCCCATCTGCTCATGGTGTGTTCAGCAGATGCTAGGAAAGAACAGGAAGGCCGGAGTGGGTTCACAGTAATGGAGTCAAACACGTGGGCCGGATCGCCGCCCCAGCCCTCGGAGAGGGGCGCCATGGCTCCACCTATGCACCATTCATAAGGGGGTGCTCCTGGAGCCAGCGGCATGTGCACTCGTGGCTGCCTGACTACGAGGCACCATACTGGGGCATGTCAAGGGGAGATGGAGCTGGAGAGAGGGGGCCGAGGGGCCGTGGGGGAGGGCAGAGTCCACCTATGGCCCCTCACCACTGCTTCCCCTTCCTCAGATTACTTGGAGCACCACGTCTTGAGGACATCACGGACCCTGCACCGCCGTGTCCTGAGGCTGTGCCTGTACTGAGAAGGTCAGCAGGTGTGGGTGGCCTGGGGGTTTCCAGGGGACACATGCTGGTTTGGGTCCACATTTCCCAGGGGCGCCTGGATTTGTGATGACATGTGTTGGACGGGCCTGGCTGGAGAGTGGGCTTTGTTTTGGACCCCTAGAGGGAGCAGGGGTAAACTGTGAGGAGAGCGCAGATGCCTTGTGAATGGCACCAGGAGCCTGCATTGTTTCTAAGTGGGAAGCCCTTTCCCAGAATCAGGTGTGGTCCTCAGATGGAGTTCTAGAAAGACAGTCATCACACAGACTTCCAGAGTCTATCTTTGCGGTGGCCCCCAAATCTCTGCCATGGCCTCTGTGTTGCCTCAGCTCTCTGAGGAGGACAGGGAAGGCAGGGAGCTGGGGTGGGTGCAAGCTGGGTGCACAGTCCCCTCAACAGGCACCGGTTTATCATCCCCAGCGGGATTTCCCACCTGAGTCTGCACCCCCACTGTACTACACCTTCTGGGAGGGACAAGACGGGGCTTCTTGGCCTCCACGAGGCCCAAGGCATTTCCCAAGGACTCAGCCGGGATTCAGTGCACTTGTGGGTACCTCATGTCCCCATCACAGGGACTCTGAATCAGTCTGAGACGGGAGAGCCCTGCAGTTCTGGTGTGATGTGAGGGGAAACAGAGTCAGGGACCTAGCAGGAAGTACAGAGTGCAGCCTGGGATGCTGGGCATGAGAGCGGGCCACGAAGTGGGGGCACACTGGGGCTCAGGGCTTGCTGCCCACCAACAGGGGGCTTGGAGCAGGCCGGGGAGTGTAGCCACCGTGGACCTGGCCACAGGCCCCACATTTTCCCTTCCCAAGCTCAGTTTCTCCATCTGAGGAGTGGGGGCATTCACCTTCCAGAGTCCTGATGAGGACTGAGTGCAGGTCCCTGATCTGCTTGGCACAGCGAGGCAGCTCTGCCTTGTCACCAGCCCCTGCTTGCCCAGGCGTAGGTCTGACTGAGTCTGTGCATGTCTTCAGATGCTGTTCAGTTACTGCTCGGCCTTGCGAGCTAGAGAATCCCTCTCTTCCGTACTCAAAAATAGCCGGGCCTGCCCTGCCCTCCACTGACCCACATTTCTGTCTCTGTCTTCATGTTTTGCTGTTTTAGTTTTTTGGTTTTGTTTTTTTTAATCTTTCTGAGATTTTTTTTTTTAGCCTTATTTATTTATGCACACAGAACTGGGGTACAGGCCAGAGGTGCAGGGGCCGTGAGAGGCTTCACCAGAGACAGAGTGGGGAGCAGAACAGGCAGATCATGAAGTACACGCTGAGGGGAGCAGTGGGCGGGTCAGGAGAGGTCTGCTGTGCCATGTAGGTCACCTCCGGGGCGGGGATCAAACTCATGTTGAAGTGTCTTTAGCTTCTTGATGCTGTGCTTTACCCGCTGCACCACCAGGAAGGGCCCTTGGCTCATTTCTTAGTCAGATTATTTCTGTGCCTCAGAGGATTGAATCTCTAGGACAATAATAGAAGTGGTAAGAGTGGACATCCGTGTCTTTTTTCTGATGTTAGAAGCAAAACTTTCGCTGTCATCATTAGTACGTAATTATTCAAACATTTCTGTTTCTGACACTAGCTGTGGGTGTGTCAGAAAATGTTGTTTCTTGGTTTAAGGACTTTCCTGGTCTCATATTTTTTTAAAGATTTATTTATTTATGCATATAGAACTGGGGTATAGGCCAGAGGTGCAGGGACGATGAGAGGGTTCACCAGAGACAGAGTGGGGAGCAGAACAGGCAGATGTACTGAAATACACTGCTGAGGGGAGCAGCGGGCGGGTCAGGAGAGGTCTGCACGCCGTGTGGGTCAGCTCCCTGGCCGGGGATTGAACTCGTGTTACAGTGGCTGTGGACAGCTTCCTAGTGCTGTGCTTTAATCCATTGCACCACCCGGAAGGGCCCTCCCACCCGGATGTTTTTGTTGTTTTATCAGGAAAAAAGTTGGGTTTTTATCAAAAACTTCTAAGCTACTGAGATGACTTGTGGTTTTTGACTTATAATCTCTTGTCATTGCATTAATTCGTTTTCAGCTATGAAAACAACCTGACTTCCTGTGTTCTCACTTGGTTTCCTGCGATGTTTTTCAGACCATGCTGGATCCCCCTGCGGGTGGGGGTGGGGG